ACTGAAATTCTCACACTACCCATAGATAGTTTGAAACTAAATCTTAAACCTCACAATCCTATATAAAGAGTTCAATGCTCTCCTTTTAGAAACAATATGTCACTAATCAAAAAGAAATGGAGAGTTGTTGATTCAAGTCATCTATATACCAAAAACTCAGCTAAGAGGGGACCATCACAACTTGAGAGCAAATGAAAAAATCAGGGTTATCTCCAATATACGAATAGACTCGATCAAAGTAATAAGGTGCAAAATTAGACACTCCTTATCTATTAGTTCCAGTAGGTTGAATAAAGAAGCGACCTATTTCAAACAATCAATCAATGATTCCTCGTTTTAAGATAGAAATAGGTTGTGACAGTTGCAAAAACCATAAACCTAAAGATCCAATAGCCACCACTCTCCGTTGTACAACCAAATTTCTATCTCAAGAGGCATATATTAAACCAAAAATTCAATTTCTAATCCTCCTTCTACAACTCCAATTATTGATGAACTCCATTCTATTCGCCATGGATTGATATCGGAGTTGAAATCTTCTACTCGCCCAGCTTAAAATCCCCAACAATAAAACCGTAGTGCCAAGAGATACCTAAAGATTGATTTTCAATGACAATCTTGTACTGGGAAGTGAAAGGCGCAAATTATTGCACGATGGATGAAATTTCGGAGGAAGTTAGAAAGAGAAAAGAACAAAGATAAAAAAGCACAAAATTTAAATTTAAATTGAAAAATGCAAGGATACAAAACGTAGTTACATAATTAGTTTATTCCATGTTAGCCAATTACCCATTTACCTTTAGCAAAAATTAAGGAGAGAGCAGGAATTTAAAATTGAGAAAATTACATGAAACTCTACTATGAAAATAGAAGTATCAAGCTCGATAAAAATATATACGGTAGACTTAGTGAGCTTGCTAATTATGATGAAAAAGTCCTCTGATTTTCAGAGATTAACTTTGTCTATTTTTTGTATAAAAAGGATGCAATGAATTTGTTTAGTGTAACTGGTTGCGATTGTTATCTTTCTTTAAAAAGACCCGGGTTCAAATCTTGATATTGCTATTTTTATATGAAATAAATAATAAATGTGTAAAGACAAAAATGACCTTCCTACCTTCACTCTCGTTGCAGGAAATTTGAAATGAAGAAAAGTACACAAAACTCTACCATATATTAATGGAGGATTAATTCAGGAAAAAGTTCAATTTAGCTCCCTTTTCTCGACTAAAAACGGAAATTTTAGTTAAAATGAAATGAAAAACAAGTACATAAAAGAAAGGTAAGGTCCACGAGCAAAGCCTAACTCTTTATATATAGTTCAAGAAACATATTCTTAGAGCAAATATATAGTTATATATCATCATTTTGCCAATATTATGTCATGATATAATCTTTTGTACTCTCATGATGCATCATTATGATATATCGTGATAAAATCATGTGTAGATTAAAGTGTTATTTCTGTTACAAAATACATAAAAGCGGCTGCTATTGTATAATCATTTTGATTTTTTGTGCAAAAATTTAAATTCTAAATAAAAAAATGACATTTAGTTCGTTAAATGTTAATGAAAACATAATTATGCATATAAAAATATATTAATGGTTATCCACAGGATTCGTTTCCTACAACTAGTGGTGAAATGAATAATCAAAAACCTTCATCGGGATGACCATTAAGTACTAATTCCGAGATTAACGAGGAAAAGGGGTTGCGTTAGAGTGCCGTTATCAGTGTATATATTATAGATTATTAATGGGATAATGCAGCGTGATTAATTATGATGATTGACGTAATACAAAAAGCCCCCCTCTCTTCCACTAGCTAAGCTATCAAAAGAAGTCCACACAAACTCATTTTCGCAATGAATAAATGTGTAGAGACAAAAAATGAAATAAATAAATAATAAATAATAAATGTGTAAAGACAAAAATGACCTTCCTACCTTCACTCTCGTTGCAGGAAATTTGAAATGAAGAAAAGTACACAAAACTCTACCATATATTAATGGAGGATTAATTCAGGAAAAAGTTCAATTTAGCTCCCTTTTCTCGACTAAAAACGGAAATTTTAGTTAAAATGAAATGAAAAACAAGTACATAAAAGAAAGGTAAGGTCCACGAGCAAAGCCTAACTCTTTATATATAGTTCAAGAAACATATTCTTAGAGCAAATATATAGTTATATATCATCATTTTGCCAATATTATGTCATGATATAATCTTTTGTACTCTCATGATGCATCATTATGATATATTGTGATAAATCATGTGTAGATCAGCTACCCAGTCAGCTCTCGTGTTGAAGTTCCTTATGAAAAAAGACACTTTAATCAGCGGGTTCCTCTCAAGAAGATCAGTCATGATGCCAAGCACTGCCGAGCAAAACCACGGCCAAGATGCCCTTGGGTTCGCTATAGCAGACACAAGAATCAAACATTCAGAGCGGACGATCACAGGGCAAGCTAAATCCTGAGCCATCAACAGTGCTTCAAGCAAGGCTTTCTCCTCCACTTCGAGAGGAGATGCGCAAAGCAAGGTCCCTGCTCTCCCGTCACAGACTTGACCATGGCTATCGAGGACAACAACGCCATAGGCCGTCTCCTAGGAATCGCTAAGAAACGATCCATCACAGTGAACCTCAAAGAGAGGCAAACTCGGCGGTGGTGAAGTCTGGTTCGGGGGATGGATGAGCTGGGAGTTGGATGGAGGAGGCGTTCTCTGAACTGGGGGACAATTCGACCATTCCAGCAAGTCTCGAGCAGCATTGGAGCACGTTGCTGGAGGCCAGGGGGATGCATTGCAAAACACTTTTTCATTTCTAGATTTCCAGATATTCCAGGTGAGGAAGATAATGTGGTGGACCGACTGGATGGGCATGGTGTCTTTCAGGTGGAAGAGCCATTCAAGGATGTTAGCAGACGGTGGAGGCGGACTGAGGGATGGGTAGCAGAATTCCCATGACTCTTTCGCATGATGGCAACCAAAAAGGCAGTGGTGGAGAGACTCATCCGGATCATTGCAGACCTGACATGCTGGAGAAGGAGTACATCTCCGGTTGAACAGCTTCCTTTTGGTGGCAAGAGCATTGCGGGCACACTTCCAAAGGAAAAATCTCATTTTCGGTGGCAGAGATAATTTCCACAGCCATTTCCACCTTTCTCTTTCAAAGGTTGTGGTCGCTTGGAAACCTGGCACTTGAGATCTTTTCCTGTCATGGAAGGCATGGTAAGCAGAAGCAATAGAAAAGTTACCTTTGGGAGAAAATTTCCAAGCCCAGAAATCGGGAGCATCATGAAGACCAATCGGCACCCTCTTGATAGCTTGGACTTGAAAGGGAGACACCTCCTGCTCAGTAGCTTGCTCTTTCCAGCTCCTTTCCTCCCCATTAATGAAGTCTACCACCCGTTCTTGTTGTTATGTCGTTCCTTGAATCTTCCCACCTGGGATATGAGGAATCCACGGGTCGTGGAAGAAACTAGTAGACTCACCATTGCCACTAACTCGAATAATGCCAAACTCCATCATTTTCTTTGCTTCCCAAATACTTGCCCAGATCCAGGAAGGGAGGCTTCCCTTCTTAGCATGGAGGAAATCAGACCCTTTGAAATACAGTCCCTTGAGAAGACGAGCCCACATGGCATCCGGAGAGGTGAGGAGTCTCCCAGCTTGCTTGGCCAATAAGGCCAGGTTGAAGTCTTTAAAAGAACGGAAACCAATTCCTCCCTCTTCCTTAGGAGCATTCAAAACTTTAGCATCACACCAATGAATAGCCTTTTTCTGTAAAGAACCTGACCAAAAAAAATTCCTAATCATAGCATCCATTTTCTTAGTGCTAGAGTCCTCGAGGAGAAACAAGCACATGATGTATGTCGGAATCGCCTGAATCACCGCTTTGAGCAAGGTCTCTTTGCCTCCCGGGGAGAGCAAAAGGCTCTACCAAGAATCCCCTCGCTTTTCCATTCTTGTAATGAGAAAAGAAAAGGTTTCCTTTTTCAATCTTCCCCACTCCGTTGGAACTCCAAGGTAGGTGGAGTGATTGTCACTAGCAAAACCAAGATCACCAACAATCTGCTCCCTTAACTCCGCTTCCACATTGTGGCTGAAGAAAACAGAGGATTTAGAATTATTGATTTCCTTTCCGGTGATGGTACTGTAGTCAGAGATGATTTCCATGATCCTTGCTGCTTCTTCCAAGGAGGCTTGACCAAAGATCACTGTATCATCAGCAAAAAGACAGTGCGTGAGGGTCGGGCAATGACGATTAAGTTTTAAACCTTTAAAAACATTCGAAGAAGCCGCTTTATCAACCAGGAAAGAAAGAGCGTTAGATAGGAGGATGAATAAAAGAGGAGAAAGAGGGTCTCCCTGTCGAATGCCTCTAGAAGGAGTGAAAAACTGAGTGGGTTCCCCATTGAAGAGGATAGAGAACCTTACTGATCTGACACACTCACTGACCCAAGATCTCCAAATTGGATCAAATCCATACACCGTAAGGATTTTATCCAGACTATCCCAGTCCACAAGGTCATATGCTTTCCTCATGTCCAGTTTAAGCATCATGTCTCGACGGTTGCCAGTCTTATGCTTCTTGAAATGGTTGAGAACCTCATGAACAATAACGACATTATCTTGAATCTGTCTCCCACCAGTAAAAGCAGTCTGTAATTCCGAAACCAGGAGAGTGAGCCAGTTCTGCAGTCTTGAAGACATGATTTTTGTGATCACTTTATATCTGAAATTACAACAGTTGATAGGCTGGAATTGGTTTATCTGTTCCGGGGCGTCAACTTTTGGCACTAACGAGATATGAGTATCATTCCAGCCGTCCGGCAGCTGGCCATTGAGAAAGAACGCTCTGATCTCATCACAAAATCCATCCCCGATGGTATGCCAAAACTTCCTGAAGAAAAATCCCGGGAAACCATCAGGTCCTGGAGATTTAGAAGGGCCAAGGCTGAAGACCGCCTTTCAAACTTCATCATTAGTAACCGGAGCACATAACTGGACATTCATTTCACTTGGCACCAATTGAGGGAAGTCCTGAAGAAGGTGATCAAAATGCACAGCAGGACGGGCTTGAAACAGGGTGGAGAAGAAATTCTGAGACAGCTCCCTGAGATGGGTCTCATAATAATCCAATTCCCGTTGTCCTCTTTCAGTTTGAGAATCCGGTTAAAGTGGTGCCTTTGAATCGTACTAGAGTGGAAAAAGGCAGAGTTCTGGTCCCCTTTTTGTAACCATTGAATCCGGAAACATTGTGCCCAGAAAGCCTCCTCTTCCCTCCAAATATTGGCCAGTTCCATAGTAAGCGCTTTCTCCTCTACCACGTCCGCAAGAGTCCTGGCCGGACCTTGGAGATTTTGAAGTCTGGTTTTGATTTCTAATTCCCTCTTCATTCTCTCTTTTTTGCTGTCTCTAGCCCAACTGACAAGTTCTGTTTCACATCTCTGAAGCTTAATGGATGAGTCCCCTTGTTCTTCCCAAATTTTCAAAATAATCTCACCACATTCCACTTGATCTTTCCATCATTTGTCGAATCTGAAGGGAGTTCTCCTCCTATTATCATTGAAATTGATATCCACCCGGATGGGACAGTGATCTGATTCAACCATATCCTCATGAAAACAACTGCTTTGTCGAATTCTTCTCTCCAAGATGCTGAACAAATGACTCTATCCAACCTTTCCCTTATCAGATTCTGTCCTTGTTGCTTGTTTGTCCATGTGAATCTTGGACCCTTGAATCCGAGATCAACCAAAGCATTGTGCGAGATGAAATACTTGACGGGGTGGTGATTTCATTCCTTAGAGAACACCTTCCTTCTTTCTCATGATCATACAGCACCATGTTCAGGTCTCCTACAATAAGCCACTGGTCTTAAATGCTACCCCTAAAGGAGCTCATATGCTCCCAAAAAGCCCTTCTTTCCACCGTAGTGGTCGGGGCATAAACAAAAGAAACAAAGAAACTGCTAGTGCCACTACTAATACAAACATCGAAGAAGTGGATGCTAGAATCTAAAAAGTGGATAGAGATTCCAGCCTTCCACCAAAGGGCTAACTCACTGCCTCCTTCACTAGGGTTTATATATTTCGCATTTGTAAAATTCGTTCTTCTCCTCTTTCCCTCCATGTATTCTTCTTCTTGTTTCGTTTCCATGAGAAAGAGAATGGACGGGCCCAGGCTTCTACATAACCTGTTGCAATGGCTTCTTGTAAGGGGTTGGCCATATCCCCTACAGTTCCAACTCAGGATCCTCATTCTGGGTCAGGTGGATTAAGGCTTCCCACCGCCTCCTGAGAGCAAGAGTAGTTCTCATCCCCTGCTGCTTGAGTTTTTTGTCGAACCTCCTGCCATCATTCTCTTCTAGCTCCAATCTTCTTCCTTTTGTCTCCAGCTGTGTTGCCTTCTGAACCTGGGCTAAACAGAAAAGGTTTGGACAAGTTAGTGTGTACAAACTCTCCACTTGGGCCTCCTGACAGATTGAGAAGCCACTCTTGTTTCCTCTTCTTTTCAGCCCGTCCAAGCTCCCTTTCATAGTTGAGTTGGGCTTCTTCAACAATGGATAATGGTTGTTGCTCCTCCATAATATAATGCGGGCTTCCAAAGTTGTGAGTTTGAACCACTAAGCCCATCTCTTTTTCTGAGCCCAAGCAAATGAGCCCAGTCCCTTTCTTCAGCTGAAGAGGGATGTCTCCCCTATATTTGGCTCCCACATTAAGATCCAGGGAGTACTGCACTGCCGCAGCCACCTCTTCCAAATCATCCTCAAGCCTCCTTGGGGAACAGAGTTTTTGCTGTAAAGAGGGAGATGAGTGAGGAAAGATGTCAGTATCCGTTATGGATCTCTGACCTAGGAAGAGGTTGTCACCCATCGTCTGTGAGATTGGAGTCGAGGATTCCCCTGCACCAGTGATAAGAGCCGTTGGGGTGGTGTTCCCAAGGCCGTCTTGGGATGATGGATTTCCTTTTTCCAGATGCCTCTCCTCCCTGTCGATCTGACCTTGCGTCTTGCGGCGAAAGGATGCCGGAGGAGTAGCCGCCGGTGATTCATAGCCGGCTTTCAGTGCAGCGCGGTAGATCCCTGATGGCTCGGTGTTGTAGCCCTTCTCCCTGCACTCCTCCCTGGTCTGGCAGCTATGAAACAGGTGTCCAATCTTTCCGCAGAAATAACACAGATCTGTGAACCTTTCATATTTTAGGCTCACCCACACAGCTTTCCTCCCAAGAGGGTATTCAAACCCAATCAGTACTGGCTCTTGGAGATCCACTTCGATAAGTACCCGAGTGAATCTCATCCATCCAGTGGCTTCAAGGCTTGATCTGTCAACTCTATGGAGCTTTGGGAAGAGAAATTCAGCAACATTCTGGATGGAATTCTCCTCTTTGAGGACCTGGGGAAGATCATGAATCTGAGCCCACAGCGTGACAGTTGGGAATTCCACCTCCTCTGGCTTAGTTTCTTCATCCCACTTTTGGATTGCAATCAGGCAGTTGGAGAGGCTCCAGGGGCGGGAGTTCCAGACCGCATCTCTACCCGCTACCGTTGGGAAAGTGCACACGAACAGGTTTTTGGCTTCTCTCTTGATGGTGATTTCGCCATGGGTCCTCCATTTAGCTTGAGTAGCATTTCTCGCCTTCCCTGGTGAGATGTTGTTTTCAGTCAGCCACTTTGTGATCAGGACCTTGTTTTCACTTCCCCTTCCTCCATTTTCTTGTGGTTGGATGTTGAGAACCAAATGGCCCTTTCCAGCCCGGTTGTCTCTCGGATTGATCTCCATGGGGTGACTGGTTATTTTCAAAGAGGGCTGGATTTTTGGTGTTTTTTCTACTGAAAGGGTTTCTCTAGGAACAATAGCCAAGATTAGAGCTGATCTGCCTTTCTGGATGAGTTTTACGAGCTTTATAGGCGATTTCCATGGGTTTGATTGGGCATTAGTCTCTTTCTCTTCTGCATTAAATCTCCTGACTATGATAAGATGAGTCCCTGCATGATAGTTGATTGTCCTCTATGCCTTGCCATTTTGGGGCTCAAGGGATTTGAATCCCATCTCATAAATTGCTGATGCCCCGATTGGTGAAGTTGGCAGTAGCCAATTGTCTCCTGAGTGACGCCTTCTACTAGATTTCTGCAGGGGAGGAGGTTTCTAGGTCTTATTTTGAGCATTGAATGCCTAGAGATGGGGATGTATAGTGAGCTAGATTTGGCCAATCTTGAGGTGCAGAGCAATAAATGCCTGCTCATTTCCTTTTGCTTTTGCCTTAACTCTTCTGGATCTTCTTGCATATCTTCTCTTTCTCCAAGAATATATGGTAAGATTGGGAGAAGTAAGATGGTAGGTATCTTGAAGGGCAGCCAGACAGGCCGGAGAAGAAGCTACGAAAATTGCAGCTGGATCATATTTCTTGAGTTGAGAGGATATTCAATGCAGAGAGAGTCATTTTTTCTATTGGTTGCCCCATAGGAATTGTTGTTGTGTTGTTTTTTTAATTTAATTTATTAATCTGTACCGCCGTAAATCAAGCCCACGAAACTTTCAATCAAGCCAAAAAAGCCCCTAGAAACGGTGAAATCCTTCATAATTGCCCCCTCGTTGATAATCATTCTTCTCGATAGAAACTATGGACTTAATCTATCTTCAGCAACCTTGTCATACCAATTTATATCGTCGTATTAGTTTTACAAGTGATATAAGATGATTGTTGGTATCAACGATTAATATTATCAACTCATGTTGATTTTAGCAAAACATATAAGAAATGGGAAAATTATCAACACTAAATAAATTTAGGCACATATATAACAAATTTGAAGACAATCTCTTTAAAAGTTACATTCATATTTAAATAAAATTACAAACAAAATGAAAAATCATCATACTTAAATACAAAAACATCTAAACATTCATACTTGAATCAAACTTAACTTTCAAATAAAAAAAATATTTAAAATATTTTTATTAATTGAATTCACTGAAACAACATCATTTTGTTTAAAAGTCAAAAATTGTTCATGCCTATCATACCATTGCATTTCATCCGGTTTTGTAATAGAATCGCGGCATTTTTGTAATTATGATAAATCATGTATATTCTAATAAAAAGAAAATTTTATTTTTATGAAGGTATATCGATTTCTTTTTATAGGTACTTAATAAATTTGATCCTAGGGGCAAAACGGTTAGAACAGATATTTGGTTGCATAAAAGAAAAATTATTGCATCACCGTACAAGCAAGTCATATTATTGTCAAAAAAAAAAAAAGTACAAGCAAGTCATATAAAAAGCAACTGAGCAGCAAACAACCGAAAGAAGAGGATAATGCCGCAAAACAGAATCCACAATCAGATTTCTAAGTTTGTCAACATTTGGCCAAAAAAGCAATGCATAAAAGTAATTGAGAGTGCTATCATTCAATAATTTGAACAAAGCAAGCATTGCCTTCTGGTGCCAAAAAGTTAAAAGTGATTCTGAACCTAAACATTTTCTTATTTGTGACTAGCTAGTTACGTTTTTGGATCGAGTGTTTCACGATTCATATTATCACAATACATATTGGTATCACAAATTTGAAAATAATTGTCACTATATGCATTCAACGAAAGGTGGAAAGTCGAATCCAACAAAGTACATACTTTAAGTTAATAGCGGATTACTGATTTGTTAGTGGTGTATTGGACTTATTTCCAGGCAACCAAAGAGGGAAAGGGAAAACAACACAAAAGCCAAGGCGAAAATGAAAAGAGGATGATTGAGAGAAGAAGCGTACTTTTGGAGAAGGGTAGCCTAGCTTCCCATGCAATGCGAACTGTGCCTCGAGATCCGCTGAAGTCACGGCGACGGAGGACGAAGAAGAAGAAGGGAGCTGCAGTGAGGATCTCGGCCGTAGAAACCTCTCGAAGATGGCCATTACTAACTACTAAGAACATCGATATGAGGATCGCTGTAGCGACGAACCCAAATGATATAGCGTCGACCGAGTTGTCGAAATGCCTCCAGTGGTCTTCCCTCTCCGAATTCAGCGACGCCATCGCCGCCGCCGGCGATGGCACCGTTATCCAGCTGTCGTCGGCGCCCATTTTACCAACAAAAGCCGAAGAGAATTTTTTTAAAAAAAAGCAACAATAAGAGAGCTCCCCTGTTTTTCCCCTGTTCTTTCCTCTTTCACCACAATTTGATTGCTTCTGCCGTTTATTGAACTGAGACTGACCCAGCTACAATTTCAGCGGACGGCGTCGTGTGCTTCCAAATTTTCTGGAGAAAATGGATCGCCATGACGAGAGAGGGGAAGAAAGCAGACGGTTGAAAAATGAAAACAAAGGCGGGGAGCCGGGGATGAGAGATTGGCGGATGAAAAAAAAAAAAAAAAAACAGGGGAGTGGGGGTGAACAGAGTGAGGGATGGTGATTGGTGGGGATCATTAAAACACGAAGCTCTTGTCAATGATGAGTTGATGACTCTTTTTTCTGCCTTTTTCTCACTGGAGGTTGTCAACCCGTGGGTCGACCCACTTTGACCCTGACCCGGTGAGAAAAACGGGTCATAAGCACTCGTCGGGCCGATCGCTACAAGGTACCGGGTTGGAGATCAAATTGTGTCATTTTTTTTCTTTGGTTTGCGAAATGCGCCTATTTTCCGATTTTTCTTTTCGCCTAACTCAATCTTTGGAATCCTAAGTTGAACATTTGAATATTTATGTTATATAAGTGTGTGTGAATTTTCATTATATGTTGGATCTAAGTACGATATGTTATTTTGGTGTAATATTATATGTTATAAGTCATATGCTAGATTAGATTTGATATAATTTATGAGGATAAGTACAATATAATGACTTTTTCTATATTTCCGGGCCAAAACGGTTAACCCATTAATACTTGACCCACTAGTTCGACCAGGTTCGGGTCAACCCGTGGGTTGACAACCTTGCTGGAAACCATACAAGCACAGTTGAGTCGTGGGGAAAAGGAGAGACTCAGAGACAGAGAGAGCAGCAGAGAGGGAGACAGAGTTGAGCGAGTTGGGAGTCGAGACTGCGAGTCTAAGCCTGAAAAACAGAGCTTTTGCTTTTTCTTTTGCTTTGCCTAGCCTTTTTTATCTTCTCCGGGAAAGGTGTAAATTCTGGTAAGGGGTGGTTTGGAAGTTGCTATTGTTTTGCTAAGATTGTTAGGGGTCGTTTGGATGTGGAAACGTAATGCAATAATTGGACCTAATTACCACATAATGCAGTAATTGGGTTAAAAACCCACGTTTGGGAGAGCAAAAAGGGTATGGCAATTGGACCATGGAAATTGGCTTCAATTACCACATTCATGGTAATTGAGAATACTACACCTCCCCCTTGTAATTTGACATTACCACGTTTTCTTACTTCTTTTTCCAAATTCCACACCATCAATTCCCACAAAACTAAACCCTATCCAAACGTGAATTTTTTTTCAATTTCCACAAATCAATTCCTTGGTTTTGTAAAACATGGAAATTCAGACAAATTCCAACGTTTTCAAATTTCCACATCCAAATGACCCCTTAGTATATATGTATCGTTTATTTGTTTAAAATGTATTGTTGTTTTGATTTAATTGTTTTTGTGATGTGACAAACGATAACTCAAAATCAGTGATTGTTATATCTCAACTTTTAGATGTGATTGTTATATCTCAGTTTTTAGCCGTGATTGTTGAGATTGTTGTGTGGAGATTGTTAAGTCTCAATTGTTAGCTGATGTGATATACACAATTTGATGAGTGCACGTTTCTAGCCGTCTAGGTCATTAGATTATTTTCGAATATTATTATTATTATTAATTTTGGTATTCTTTTAGTTATTTTGGGTTGTTATTGTTTCTTGTTGAGGAAGTAATCAGTTAGGAGTTAGTATAGGATTGGGTTTCCTTGTACGAAGGGGAAAGGATTTATGGGATTTGTCCTATAAATATGTATTTTGCCACTACGTTTTATTCACCAAAGATTAAACCAGTATTTGATTATGAACATCCAACGTTAGTGGATAGGGCGTTTGACGAAGACCATATATAGACTTTCTGAGGTGGCAAACATGGTCGGAGCGGTCTGGATTGATGAATTCCTGTGGTTGACACATGAATACTTCTTCCTGTAATGTGCCGTGAAGGAAGGCATTGGAGATATCTAGCTGATGCAGTGACCATGAGTGCGATACAATAATGCCAAAATAAGTCGTTAAGTTGCTGGCTTGAGGACTGGACTAAAGGTCTGGTCAAAGTCGTGTCCCGGAATCTGCTCAAATCCACAGGCGAGATTGTGCCATCGGGATTTGTCTTCATAGCAAACACCCATTTGTTAGATATCAAATTGCAATCAAGTGGTGGATGAACTAGGTCCCAAGTGTGATTGGGAATTAAAGCATCAAATTCGGAGGTCATGGCAGCTCTCCAGTGGATGATATGGTGATCACTGGCAATCATTCCTCAACAATTCAGCAGCTCATGACTTTTCTTCGATCCCGATTTGCTCTAAGGGATCTTGGGCAAGTTTTTTCATATTTTCTGGGACTAGAGGTCCATCATTCTCCTACTTGTTTCTCAAAATGTGGTGAAATGTGGTTATGAACGAAGAAGGCGAGGAGATTCTCAAATTAAGATTGAGACTTGGGTATCGATGTGGGAGTTGAGAGACTGGTCGAGTGGGCTGCTAATAGGGCTGCAAACGAGCCGAGTCGAGTCGAGTTTTTGGTTAGCTTGAGCTCAGCTTATTTATAAATTTTTTATCTCGAACTCGGCTCAAACTCGAATTTTAATCATCCAGCTCGAGCTCGAGCTCGACTCGATTAAAAATAATCCAGCTCGAGCTCGGCTCGATAGAGCTCGATAAATGCTCATTAACACAGCTTGTCAAGCTAAGTACAAGCTCGGCTCAAGATAAGTTCGATTTGAAACCATTCTTGCTTAAAAATGTGTACAAATAAGAACATTAGAAATTAAAAATGATAAAAAGACCACTAGAAACTAAAAATAACATCTAACTTCCATACACATCCTTATTAACAAGATAATTTTCGTGTTCAGAAGAGTAATTAATCATTCCACAAGCTTTAAACAAGCCAGCTCGCGAGCTTAGCTCAACAAGCCACCGAGTCAAGCTAGCTCACGCATGGCATAGCTCAAGCTTGGCTCGTTAACTAACGAGCCGGCTCGCGAGCTGGCTTGTTAAACAACGAGTCGAGTGTCGAACGAGTTTTTTCTGATTCGAACGCCGAGTTGCTCGCGAGCGGCTTGTTTCATTTGCAGCCCTAGCTGCTAACACGTATTGAGAAGTCAGTTGGGTCCACGATTTGGTTCGGTAAGCCGTGGTCTATACCAGACCAGACCAAGAAATGAAAACATCATATAATACAGACCATGGACCAGACCAGACCATACGGTCTACGGTCCCGACCAAACTGTGTGATACGGTTTGAACCATGGTTTTTCTAACGGTCTAGTCTACTTTCCCAGCCCTAATCATGTAGTTCAAACCGTGTCTCAATTGATATGCGTTCTTGGCCTGACCTAAGGGGATGTTCACCTCAACCTAGGTCAAGAACTAGCACTACTCACTTCTACTGAAGCAAAATAATGGCATCATTCAATAACAATTGACCATAAATAGTAAGAGAGAGTTCATACATTCATATTCAAAATCCTAATCATTCATCTAAAGGTTGGGGGTTCTTACCTCAAGCACAAAGGGGATTACCCCATGGGAGAAGAGGAGAAAACAATAAGAAAGGAGGAGGAAACCCTTGTCTTCATGAACCCTGGCTGGAGGCTAGCCCTCAATATTCAAGATGACTCTTCTTCTTCTTCTTCTTCTTCTTCTTCTTCAATGGAACCCTAAGTTCCTATCTCTAAAACTCAACCTTTTCCCTCTCTACAAGTGAAAGAACCGCCAAAAATCCCAATTTCCCCCTTCAAGTTGGCTCCCTTTTGTCAAGTGCAAAAGAGGGGCATTTATAGTGTCCTCTCACTGGTCACAGCCTGGTCAAGGGTCGTGACGTGGCCATGACCTGTGCTTTTTGTCCCCTTATTGATCCTATGCTTTCCAATAGTGCTCGAATGAACTCCAATCGATTCCCGATCGATTCCAAATGAATATAAACCTAGAATTTCATCACAAACATGAAAAAAGCATAAAATAAGACAAAGTTAGGTCGATTTTCCATGAAAACCTTCATATCAAGAAAACCTCTGCCAGAATGGATGTTTTGCATATAGGAACGAAAATAGGCCTAAACTAACTTGATATGTGACCTAGGCACGATGATTTAGCACGCAGATGCCTCGAGAATAAGGGCTAAATAATTCCTATTTTAGGTGTTATCAGTAGTCCTCTAATAAAATCGTCAGTCGTGAACTTCTTCGAACTCATCATGGATTAGTCTCGTTGAATAAAAAACAATAATACTACGTAAAATCCGTATCTTTTGTGTTCTTTCAATATTCCGCATTGTTCTTCTAATATCCGCATTGTCGATTTCTTTCATTCTTTATGTTTTAGTTATCTGTAGCTCGAGGGTTAAGGCCTAAAGACTTTCTTAGACTTAATAGATCGAGAGTTGGAGTCTTGGAGACCTACAGGAGTTGGAAAAAGAAAGCTGCAGGGCCGGGGAGCTAGGCGGAAAATCAGGTACTTGGGACTATATGTGTCAAAGTGAACCCGTCGGGTTGAAGCGGGTTGCACTTTTTGGTCTTTTCCCATTTTAGCTCTGATACCAATAATTTTACGATTCCAAATTCCTAAGTTTCTGTGTTTCATATCTTGTTTCTTGAGAAGTCTCAATCGTCTCTTTATTTTTAAAAAGCTTACTAAAGAATCTAATCATTCTTTCTTTTCCTTGTTTTCTGCAACAAGTCTCATTCTTTCTTTTTCTTTCATGGAATGGCCCAAATAAAGGTGGTTAATTTTCATTTTGTTGTTTTTGGTTTATCTATTTTCTAATTTCTGCTTTATTTTGTTTAGACTAGTTATTATATCGGTAATTAATTCAGTTTTAGATACGGCTTCCTCTAATGTTTCTGAATTTCCGATAGACATTTGTTCTTCTACAATATCTGATACGAAGTGACATAATTCTAACGTAACCGTATTAATGTCGCCTACTGATGTAAGGTCTATTGCATCTATTCCTTCTATCAATTTATTTATGTAATAAGTGTTAGGCATCTTTACAATTTTTCACTCATTTCTACGATTAGTTCTTGACTCTTGTAACTTTTTTATTTCACTAGTATTATCATTTTGATGAAGTATAGTTATGTTTTTTATTTCCTTGTTTTCTTCTTTCTCCATTTCCTTCTGCTTATCGGTTA